AGAAGAGAATTCTACGTAGTGAGGGTTATAATCCCTAAGTGCGGCCGGAGGCCGCCTACGCAGAAAGGTGTAAAGTGGCGACTGTCCCCTTTCGAATGAGGGGGGTTTGGGGGGCCACGCCTCCTCCCCCTCCGCCCACCACCCCAAAAACGATGGGCCAATAACTAAACATTTCCCGAAATGCCAAACGTAAAAGCAAAAATGGACGCTAGCAAGGAATAGAGGTTTGTAAAGGTAGTTTTAATAAAATATTAAGTTAAAACGTATTTAAATTGCTTTATATAGCAGAAAAAAGTGATCACGGTGGCACAGAGAAGAAACATAAACTTTCCTTGAGATGTGAGAATACCAAGCACAAAAAAATTTACGGCTAATAATCTGAGATTTGCCTGTGTAAACGGGGTGATTAAGAAACGAGCTTTGATTGTGATAATATTTATATGTGAATATACTTTTGGCCTTATTATTGAATCAAATGTACATATTACATATCGCACACCGTGTTCAAAAGAGTTAGAACTCAAAATAATACGTTCGTCAGAGAATGCGAAAAACTATTTCGTAGCACATGCTAATCATATGGGCAAGGGCGACTTTACCTTAGGTTTTTTAACGAATTATAACAAAAATTTGCTCCAGCTTTTTCTGAAAGGTAAATAAAAGCTCTGTGTACATTTTTAACGCATAATTTCAAAAATGCCAAATTTTGAGTTGACTCTTTTGTCGACGTTCAGACACGAAAACTTTTGTTGCGGAAACTCGAAGCATGTAGGGGAGAGAGCGACGAGGAAAGGGGACGGGTACCGAGTCGCCCGTACTCGGGAAACACGCTTTGTGCTCTCGTTCGTCTGAGTAATTCAAGTTGGCGATTCACAGTTGACAACAACAATTGCGTACAAAAGAGTTTCTGTGTGTGAATGCAAAGGGCAACACCAAAACAGAAATCGCCTATAATAAGAAACTCGAGTTTCCGTGTTTGAACGCAGATTTAGAAGACGGTGTGCGATATGTCAGTTTAGAATAAACATCGACTATTTATATCCCACACCGCCTTCAAAAGAGCTACAACTCAAAATTTGCCATTTTTGAAATTACGCACTAAAAATGTACACAGAGCTTTTATTTACCTTTCAGCAAAAGCTGGAGCAAATTTTTTTTTTAATTCGTTAAAAAACCTAAGGTAAAGTCGCCCTTGCCCATATCATTAGCCTGAGCTACGAAATAGTTTTTCTCAGGGGCACCGAAATTGCGCATATGGAAACTGTGCATTTAGACATTATT